ATTCAAGCTGTCTCCAGCCATTATTAGTCTCAAAGTGGGTTCCTTGTCATAGAACTTTAAAGTACTCCCTAACATTGGTAGCGACCATGATCCGATAAGTTTTACACTATACTCACGTAACAGAAACACTTCAAGTCTTAAATCCATCATTTATGAATATTCAACAACAGACTGGGTCAGATTTAATAACCTACTATGTAACAATATTCCAAATATCGAGACGAATATCACATCAGAAACAGATATTGACAACTACGTCAACGAATTAACAACAACAGTTAAAAAAGCAATGGAAAGTATCATACCCTCCAAAGTTAGAAACACAAATCCTAGTCACTGGAAATTATCACTAGAAATGTTAAAATTAATCTCTGAACGTAGGAAACTAAGAAGGACATTTATACGTACGCGAGACAAACTAACTAAACGCCACATCAACAAAGTAAATAATAACATCAAGAAATTAATCCGCAAACAACAACAACGAAACAATTGGGACCAATACTGTAAAAGTATCGACCAAAACTACAATGATCCAAGCACTTTCTGGAGGAAGTTTAAAAACATAACGAAAACCCAAGACTCAAGCAGCACAAACATGATACACTACAAGAACATCACAGCCACTTCAGACACTGAACAAACAGAACTATTCGCACAATACTACAAAGACACGTTTATCACTCCTGATCTAGACACATTCAGTAGAGACCACAAAAATCAAGAACTACATTAGCAACAACAAGGAAACATTTAACCCAACTTTTCCAGTACAACTAGATAAAACAGAACACAAAACAACCAAAGACTTCTACTCAAGACCCACAGTAACAGAAATCAGACAGACACTCAAGTCCATCAAAAGAAAAACCCCTGTGGATGACCAAATCAACAACACAGTCCTAAAGAACCTAAACGACATTGTAATCAAACACCTCACAGACATCTACAACATCTCACTACAAGCTGGCTATTACCCTAAAGCATGGAAACATGCAATTATTAGAGTCATACCTAAAACAGACAATGACCTATCCGACCCCAAAAACTTCAGACCAATTAGCTTATTGAACACGTTGGGTAAACTCATGGAAAAAATAATAACAAAAAGACTTAACTGTTTCCTTGAAGCAAATAACATAATTAACAAGAATCAGAATTCTGGCAGAAAACATAGACAGACAACCGATACAAACTACACTCACTAAAAGTACCTATAACATTACTAAGATGGATCTCAAGTTTCCTAAATCATCGAACTGCCAGGGTAAAAATTAACGATTCATTCTCGACTAGTTTCGGATTCTCTGCAGGAGTCCCACAGAGTTCGGTACTCAGTCCAACACTTTACAACATATTTGTTAACGACATCCCATTCTCTGAACAAACATTTACATCAACATCACAATACTCTGACGACATGGCCATTTGGAGTATTTCGAGCAACCCTGGTACAGCCTTGAACAGAGTCCAACATGCACTGGACTCTGTCTCCAAGTGGTGCAACTCGTGGCACGTATCATTGAACCCAACAAAGACACGAGCCATTGCATTTCACAAAAAAATAAACAGATCAAGGAAAAAATTAAATAATCTCAAGTTAAAACTTAATGACATTAACATCACCTTCACGAATAAAGTTAAATTTCCAGGAATAAACTTCACTGCAAATTTAATATGGAACACGCAGTTCAAGGACATTACAAAAAGAATTAATGTCAGGGTAAAATACATAAACAAAATAGCCGGAACAAACAAAGGATGTTCACCTGAATCAATAATAACAATCGACCGAGCATTTATCAGGCCACTCGTGGAATAAGGAAGTGCAGTAACATGTCAGATAACCAATACAAGAAACTACAAATTAAAATTAAAATTGCACACAGACTGCTGAGCTACACACCTCAAGAATACCTACACAGCATTAACAAGTTACCAACAATCAAAGACCGCTCTACACAACTTGCCATGAAATTTTACAGAATAGCCGAAGTTAGGAACAAACAGTTCTAACACCAGAAACTTGGAACACATACATATCACCATTGAATTACATAAACAGCCTAGAAAACACATAAAACACTCACCAAATAACTGAAAGAAATTTCTGTTTCAGCTTTGGGCACTGGTCAGGTAGATTATTCTGCGCCTGACCAGTGAAAGTGGGTTTTCTCGGGGTACTCCCGTTTCCCCTCACAGCAAAATTCTGAGAATTGGACCATGGTCCACCTCCTAGCCCTGAAAAGGACCGACAGACGGCCTTCTCCCCCACCCAAAATTTTTAGCCCTAGTGCTTTATCCCACTCGATGCATCCTCGAAGGCACCGCTGCCTGATTTTTTAAGCTTAATGTATGCTCCAGACCCAGGTCAAACCAAATCCAGGACAAACTATAATACTCACGAATATGTACATC